TCTGTCTGTCTGTCTGTCTGTCTGTCTGTCTGTCTGTCTGTCTGTCTGTCTGTCTACACAGATCTCGTCTCACCTCGCCGCCACATTATGCTGAAGATCGTCTGGAAGTTTCTCAGTGACGTCATAGTAAAGCACCTCCGGCAGAGTGTAGCCCGGGAAAATGTGCAGCGGGAAGCCGGGAGACAACACCAGCCTCACTTCCGGTAGTTCAGCAAAGTTCAAGATGCACGCGGTCAAGGTCATGACGACAGCCAAGGTGACGGTCAGGCCGATGAGAACAATTCGCCGGGTGCTGAGGAAAGTCGCTCTCGGCCAACTGAGGAACAGTTTCAGCGGGCTCAACAGCAGAACACGGCACGTGTGATTCAACCTGTTGGAAGACAAAAACACGGCCATCTTTGAAAATATGAGTGTTCTGTTGTTATTATTGCTGACACGGTTGTTGTTGTAGTTGTTGTAGTTGTTGTAGTTGTTATTGCTGTAGTTGTTGTTGTTGTTGTTGTTGTTGTTGTTGTTGTCGCTGTTGCTGCTGCTTTGTTGTTGTTATTATTGTCGTCATTGTAGTTGCTATATTATTGTTGCAGTTGTTGTTGTTGGTATTATTATTATTATTGTTGTTGTTGTTGTTGTTGTTGTTGTTGTTGTTGTTGTTGTTGTTGTTGGCAGATTTCAGTAGGTACAACTCAGCTACAATAATAATAATGATATAATAATAATAGAAATAACAATAATAATAAAAAAATAATAACGATAATGGTAATGGTAAGGACAATAATATAGCAAATGATAATAATGGATTGCATGTATATGTCGCATATCAGTTATGCAATGCTCTATGCGCTTAACATGAAACATGTTCCTCAGAAAGTACAGCCTCTGATTGACCTTTTTAACGATATTGTTTACGTGGTTTTGCCATGTAAATTTGTTGTCGATTGTAAGACCAAGATATTTGTATTCATATTTACATACGCATGTACAAACTTACGACGATCGACAGCTTGGATGGATTCTGTCTAATCAAAATATGATGAAAATAGATCTGCTTTTAGTTTTTTCTTAAACATTTCTAGATTTTCTGCTTCTCTAATAGTTTTTGGAAGCCAATTCCAAACAAGTGGGGCAAAATATGAAAAACAGCGTTCGCCATATGATTCATAATTTATTTTACGTTTAACAAGGGTTGTTTTGTCACCTGGTGATCTGAGTGTTCAATGTGGTACATAGGGTATTGAAAATTGTTTTAGGTAGTCAGGTGATAGATCATGTAAGCACTTGTAGCAAGTTAAATATATTTTATTATGATACGCTCTTTCACCAGGAACCAGTGTTGTTCTTTTAAAATAGGAGTCACAAGATCATGCTTTAGTTTCTTAGTAATTATTTTGGCAGCAATATTTTGTACTCTTTGTAGTTGTTGTAACAGTTCATCAGGTACACCAGCAAGTAAGGAATTGCAATAATCAAGCCTTGACAATATAAGTGAGGTTATTAAAGTTTTGGTGACATCAACAGATAGATATTTTCTAATGCTGCCTATTTTCTTCAGTTGGAGATATAGATTTTTACAAAGATTGGATACATTGGATTTCATTGACATATCCTGATCTAGCACTAAACCTAAATTTTTTTTTTCGTTTTGGACTGATATTTCATGGCCATTGATACTTATACTGATATCATCGATGGTAAAGGCGGAACCGAGGCATATGTTAAAGCAAGAACTGCCAAGGCAAGGTCAGCGTTCTATCAATTATCAAAAGTCGGGAAAGCAAGCAACATCTCACTGCGCACCAAGATTCGATTCTTTAACTCCAACGTCAAGTCTGTCATACTCCTCTACGGCTGCGAAACTTTGAAGACAACAAAGACAGTACTGAGTCCATACTTTCATCAACAGATGTATGAGGAGTATTCTAAGAATTAAGTGGCAGGATAGAATAAGAAATTAAGAGCTGTGAGAAAGACGGGACAAAAGGATATAGTAGAAATAGGACTAAGAAAGTGGCGATGGATCGGGCACATCTTAATTAAAAAAGCCCAACAGAAACATCACAAGACTGTCACTGCAGTGGAACCCACAAGGAGCTCGAGGCATGGGTAGGCCACGTAAAAACGGAGGAGATGCGTGTGGAAAAGGACATGAAATGAAGCTCACTTGGAACGAGCTCGGAAGGACGGCCCAGGACAGAGATAAATGAGAGGAGCTTGTATGAGACCTATAGGTACCCTGCCAGGGGTGAAAGGCATTAATGATGCTTCACTCATCCCAGTCTCACCCCAATCACCCGCAGAAACCACTCATTCAAATTTTGAAATCCATTTTACACCCTTCTGTCAAATAAAAAGAAACAGGTTTCCGTTCTCGAAATTTTTTAATTATTTGCAAGATTTAGGCGTCATCTTTCATTCTTCTGTCATTCTGCAAGGACTGGGAGTAAGCATTTTTTTGCATCGAATTCAAATTCTAGAGCTAGAGATTTTTAAATATCTGACTATACTATAATATTCAGATACTTCAATTGTGGTTGGGGCAACGTTCCCGGACTGTACTTCTTTTGAAAATGCCTTCAAAAGGTGCTTCGAGAAAACAAGACTGCTCGACCTTGGCAGTAACCTATTTTGTATTCAGTCAACCCTAAGCTAAAATCCTTCTTGTAGCCTAGAGTAGCCTAAGCAAAAAAGAATCCCTTCGCGCCACGCCACGC